TTGCACACAACAACATAAATCTATTACAGTACATTCACATCGCTAAGATGATGTATTCAACAACATCATTAACCAAGTATGGTAATTTCATAACTTTGGCAGGTTATGTACAACATAGTAATTCTATTACTGTAAATCCATCAATCTCTGACATCCAAGTCAATGTCATAAATCTATCTATTCTTCCACCTTCCCCACACTTTTAAAGTAGTCTACTAAATATGGACATCTTCACACACGCACACACACACAAAACACATGCAGAATACACAGAAAATACTCTGGTTTTTTGGGACACCAACAACAATAAAAGAAAGAAAGCTAGTATGGCAAACAGAAACAAAACCCTTACACCCACCGTCTGCCATGGTAAAAAATGATGTTTATGATAAAGCATACAGCTTAACACAAAAATGTACAATTTACTGGGCTTCCGCACCACCAACCATGACAGGCACAAATCACTAACTAAAGATTAACAACTGCCAACAATCTTATTGCAAAGACACTGAGCTTTATGCTAAGCAGAAAATGGCAATAAAAATAATAATAATAATAAATATTGATATACAGTTTCATCTGAATTATTATTTAACATCAAGACCTGTTACTATTGGCTAAATCATGACAGACATTCACAACGGCACAAAATTTGCATGGGGAAACAGCACAGATATTAATTAATCTTATTCAGACTGATTTATATTTCAATTACAGCACTGAAACAGCATTCAAAACTGACTTTGTCCTAGGAAACACTGTGGTGCAATGACTAATGCACAGCTTCTGATCTAGTGGTATAGGTTTAAAGGCAGATTTTTTTTTTTTTTTAAATCCATGGTCGGCATCTTCTTTTTTAAGCATCATTTCCCCCCCAGTACTGATGTAATCAACACTTTGCAGTGAGTACCGGCACCTTTCTCAAAGACACGAAGTGTTGAGAACGTACATCTTTGTTTCTATTTTTTTATTTTTATAAACGTTTATAACTATACCATCATTCCATGGAAAACGACAGGGGTCTCCTTGACAAATAATACTTGACATATTGCGATGGAATCAAGTCACCACCATCTCTAAGTCTGACAAAAGTACACAGTCGAATCGACAAGGTTCTAGAATAAAACCTGCCTAGGAAAAAAATCAATTTTTTTCAATGCTCATAATTTTGACTCAAAAAATATATTAAACAATAAGAAATCCTTCTGAATCACAGATAACAGTCTTAAATATTATATTTTACACAGTAATAATCCTATTGCATTTGATTTCACGGTACTAATCACAGAATTCACCCCATCTCCCTCAGGCGCAAGATTTCTAGGTCGTTCTCACTGGCTCGCCTATGTTCTAGATGTGTTATGAGATTTTTCTTCCACGTCTATACACACCGTGGTGAAAACAGATTCATGTTCATTCAACGTGGTCAACACACTGTCACTTAGTCAAACCTGCACAGTTGCTGTTTTTTTTTTGTCGCTACTCTCTTTTCTGTGAACGACTGGCATTTCTAGAATGTGTAGTCATTGTGCACAGCTTAAGCGCCACAGGCCTCTGTCTACAATGAAGAAGCACTGAAGGTGTGATGGTTCATGAGTTTCAAATCATTGATGTTTTTGTATTTGTATGCTCACTGGCGGTGGCTGTCGTCGGTGGTGGATGTGCTTAAAACATTAAAAACAAGCAACATATGACATCCCTAGTTCATTAAACAGCCTGTGGGAACGAATGCCAAATCATGCAGCCGAGCAAGATGGGTAAATTCTGTGATTAGTATCGATTTCACAGTCTTCATTCAAGCAAAAATGGCAATACATGGCTGTTAGCACACAGATCTCAGCTGTCAGTGGTATAAAAAAACAACCATCGACTGGTATATTCTACCACCTTCTGATTAAATGTGAAGAATGTGTTCAAATCAGTGTTTGATTTTTAAAAATGTTGTGAGAATTAAACACAGGCTTATGGTATATTTTCTTTCTATAAATGAACATGTAAAAAACGTCTATGTACAAAAATGTGTATTTACTTGTTACTTATATTTTCACAGCACCATTTATACTTCTTTTTCTCTCAAGACTTTTATTCATAGGTGATCTGCAAAACCAGATGCTTCTACTACAGTAAAACCTATTTAACACAAACACGCTTAAGAAGAACTGTCGGTTAACAAAACTGAATTATTGGCAAACTCTTTCAATCTTGGGGGTTTATCATTATAGGCCTAAGGGGTGGCAGAAAGAAATGTACAATCGGCGCATCTTGCATTCACTGGGCTTCTAGGTAGGAATCTATGATGCGTTTCCGCAGGACTAAAAGAGTTAAAAACAGTGCTTCTGTGGTTTTCAGACAGTGGTAGAAGAGTGGTTGCTGTAAGAGAGTTTTTGGCTTGGGACAACAAGTGGGTGCATAGTAGCAAACTTTTCTTGTGAAGCCGGCATATAATCAATTCTTCAGTAGCCAATGAAGAGTCAGTATGTTAACAGCACGAGCTGCAACCAGATTAAAAGTCTGCCTGTTTCTCCTTCAATGCAATCTTCCAGAACCTCTTGTCGTCACCCCTGCTGAATCAGTCTTTCAGGCTACGGATTCTCTGTCTGTTCTAGTGCACTGTTTATTTTATCCCAGAGAGACTTCACCACGTCCACTTTATCATAAATTAGCTCAATGCCTAGAGGAGTGGCAGCAGCTAATTTATCAACCTGGTCGTTACCTCGCACACCTGAATATCCTGGACAAAAAACCCCACATGCTCCTGATCTTAAGTCGATATCAAGTGATGCAAGTCACTCTGAATGTATAGGATGGAATCAAGTTATCACTAATGTAAAAACATTCATGCAGACACATACTAACATTTCAAATATTTGTTAATTCAATTCAAATATTGTTCCCTCTTCATAAAAACTAGCAAATACATAGACCAGAGTATACTTCACAAAAACCATGGCACATTTTACCATAATGTAGTTCCATATATCAACCATAAAGTACTATAAATATACATTTCATTTATGAAAAAATAAACATTGGTTTTATATAAATCTCAAGTAGAGTGTAATACATGCTATAAAAAGCTAGACAACTGAAACATATATCCTAAAATATTTGAAGCAATTATGATTTAGATAATGAGAGCACAAACAATATACAGAACAATGTATGGCATGGCATATTTGACTGAATCTCACCAGATGCACGACTACAAATTTCAAGTCAACATATACTGATTGATAGACATACTGTTTGTACCCACGGTATTAAAATTCACAACAGAAAAACACTGTATTGAACTGCAAGAATATTATGATTTGATTCATCTTCCCTGCCCACAAACCAAAATGATAGGCAACTCTCCAAGCATTAACTGCAGACAGAAGCCTCACATCATCTTATCTATACATCATTGCCCAGGTGGATTCAGGTGCTCCCCTGTTGGGGGGAACAAGAACAGACCCACTGCCTCCCCAACAAGTATGTCCTAAGAGCCAACTAATTGAGGGTTTCCTTCAAAGTTGGAGTGCATCTGCCTGAGAGGCAAGAACCAACAGTTCACATACAAATAAGCTAGATCTTATGGATGTGCACGCAACACTCAGGTTTGAAGTGAGAGGAAGAAGACTAAAGTCCACAGGTGGATGAACAACCAGAACTTTACGTCAAAGTTTACAGCCGGTGAATGTGACAAAGAAGAATACATTACAATCATTAATTGATTAGTAAGCTATTAACTGGAGGCCGCTGGGATCTTGTTCTGTAAAGAAATGCTGAGAATACTGCATCACCACCATTTTGTGCTATTAAGCATCACATCAAGCTCAAAGTCTAATCCTCTATTTTGTTCTATCCTGTCAATACCATGGATGGAATCCAGTCGAGCAGCTTTAGCCTCTCTTAACAACATTCACTGTAGGGTTTCTCATGGGTGTCCTAGTTTCCTCAAGCCATCTCTGAATACTGCAAGCTAATAACTAAAGAGTAATCAATGATTAAGATACAAGAAGAGGCAGAGTTATAAATACCAGCATTAGAGAGACAGTTGGAATAACACCATGTCTGGATTATGTTGCCAGACAAAGAATGAAATGGTTCAGCCATCAAAAGAGAATGCAGTCAGACCAAACTGCATACAAGACTTTTTACAGAAAAATTTCTAAGAGGAAGGCGAGAGGACAAAAAAAAAAAAGAGATGAATAAATGGTGTAGTCAAAACCCGTAAAAAAATCCATTATCTAACCCACTCAAGAAGCACAAGACAAATACAGAAAACCACAACACTGGGCTACAACCTGGTATCAGTGAGACCACACAAAGAAGAAGAGTAATCAAAGATGCCTTGAAAGATTACCAACTCCCTGTAAGATCTGTATCATTCCCATTACAAACAATCCAGCAACATTCTCTGGACAGGTCATCAGAAAGGGTACAGTGGAAAATGTAGCAACAGGAAAGTTAGATGGGAGGAGAGGCATTGGAAGACAGAAAAGATACTGGAAAGCTTGGAACTGTGGCAGGGAAAACTGTATCAGGAAAATAAAACAGCTCGCAACATATAGGACACAAGCCTGTGGCAAATATAACAGCCAATGTTACGGACTGCCAGAAAAAACAACGTAGTAGATATATTAATGTTCACAAAATCTTTCTATAATTAAAACAAGTTAACAATATGATAATGTCATTCACAAACCAAACAATCATTCCACAGTGAAATAAATTCAGACATTATGTGAAATGGACATACACACAAAGAACAAAAGTATTAAATATGTTTGTACACTATAAACAAACATGAAGGCACTGGGTGCAAAAAATGAAAAAGATTTCACACAACACTGGACTTGGGCCATCACGTCAGGCAACAACCATTGCTTGTTCAGATTCACTGCCTCCGCTGACGTCTGCTCTGACAGGAAGGACTTGTCAGTGGTTTGCAGAAGGCATTTGCAATCACAAATCTCAAGAGAAAATAAAAAACACTGGATGCCATACATCCATCCCTACCGCTTGATCAACCGGAAGGAATTTGACGACTTTTTGGCAACTAATAAAGATGCCACTGAAAGAAACAATTTAAAAAAAAACAATAAGATTATAGTGTGTATGTGTGTGTACATATATTTATATATATATTGGTTAGTTGCGTATCCTTTACAGGACATTGCAGAACCAAAACCCAACAGCCCCTGGCTGTTGTGTGGTTTTTCTAGGCAAATGTACGTTCAATAATTTGCCACTGTTTTCTGGATGGTCGGTTTCTTGATACCACTGTCGAAACCAACGCAAAGCCCGCAGCTGGGATCGAACCCGGAAACCTGGCATTACGAAGCGTTCGCATCGACTTAGCCAGCCACAGAGCCAACATATATATATATATATATATAATTTTTTATATATATATAAGGCGTAAGAGATGACCAGAGAAGGTTAAGAATGAGGTGTAAGAGATGACCAGAGGAGGTTTATAGTGAGGTGTAAGAGATGACCAAAGAAGGTTTATAATGAGCTGAAAGAGATGACCAAAGAAGGTTTATAGTGAGGTGTAAGAGATGACCAAAGAAGGTTTATAAAGAGATATAAGAGATGACCAAAGAAGGTTTTTAATGAGGTGTAAGAGATGACCAGAGAAGGTTTATAGTGAGGTGTAAGAGATGACCAGAGAAGGTTTATAGTGAGGTGTAAGAGATGACCAGAGAAGGTTTATAGTGAGGTGTAAGAGATGACCAGAGAAGGTTTATAGTGAGGTGTAAGAGATGACCAGAGAAGGTTTATAATGAGGTGTAAGAGATGACCAGAGAAGGTTTATAATGAGGTGTAAGAGATGACCAAAGAAGGTTTATAATGAGGTGTAAGAGATGACGAGAAGATTTATAGTGAGGTGTAAGAGATGACCAAAGAAGGTTTATAATGAGCTGAAAGAGATGACCAAAGAAGGTTTATAGTGAGGTGTAAGAGATGACCAAAGAAGGTTTATAAAGAGATATAAGAGATGACCAAAGAAGGTTTTTAATGAGGTGTAAGAGATGACCAGAGAAGGTTTATAAGTAGGTGTAAGTTGACCAGAGAAGGTTTATAGTGAGGTGTAAGAGATGACCAGAGAAGGTTTATAGTGAGGTGTAAGAGATGACCAGAGAAGGTTTATAGTGAGGTGTAAGAGATGACCAGAGAAGGTTTATAATGAGGTGTAAGAGATGACCAGAGAAGGTTTATAATGAGGTGTAAGAGATGACCAAAGAAGGTTTATAATGAGGTGTAAGAGATGACGAGAAGATTTATAGTGAGGTGTAAGAGATGACCAGAGAAGGTTTATAGTGAGGTGTAAGAGATGACCAGAGAAGGTTTATAGTGAGGTGTAAGAGATGACCAAAGAAGGTTTATAGTGAGGAGTAAGAGATGACCAAAGAAGGTTTATAATGAGGTGTAAGAGATGACCACAGAAGGTTTAGAAACTTTATTTTAAATGACCAGAGAAGGTTTAGAAACTTTATTTTCAAACGGTTACAAACTAGGCATGCAGGCCAGTCTTACATTCAGCCCTTCCAAACATTCGTTTAGAGATGAAAAGCAGTATTGTTTCATTTAGAGATGAAAGTCAGTATTGTTTCATTTAGAGATGAAAGGAAATATTGTTCCATTTAGAGATGAAAGGCAGTATTGTTTCATTTAGAGATGAAAGGAAATATTGTTCCATTTAGAGATGAAAGGCAGTATTGTTTCATTTAGAGATGAAAGGAAATATTGTTCCATTTAGAGATGAAAGTCAGTATTGTTCCATTTAGAGATGAATGGTAGTATTGTTCCATTTAGAGATGAAAGGCAGTATTGTTCCATTTAGAGATAAAAGGCAGTATTGTTCCATTCAGAGATGAAAGGCAGTACTGTTCCATTTAGAGATGAAAGGCAATATTAATCCATTTAGAGATGAAAGGAAGTATTGTTCCATCTAGAGATGAAAGGCAGTACTGTTCCATTCAGAGATGAAAGGCAGTATTGTTCCATTCAGAGATGAAAGGCAGTATTGATTGTTAAAATTAGAGATGAAAGTCAATTTTGTTCCATCTAGAGATGAAAGGCAGTATTGTTCCATTTAGAGAAGAAAGGCAGTACTGAGATAACGAACGAACAAATAAACTTTATTTTCAAACGGTTACAAACTAGGCACGCAGGCCAGTCTTACATTCAGCTCTTCCAAAACATTCATTTCCAGACCCCAATAGCAGGTTATCATTAAATATTTGCTATGTTTTCGTTAAAAAAATATATAATAAAAAAAGACATACACACATCATGTATACATAATCATAAACACTCCGAATATATATGTACACTCTTGTATGCCCACACATACACAGACACGCGCACACCCATATATATATATATACAGACACACACAAATACACACTCATACATACATGCACTCATGCTTATACAGACACATACAAGCATCCACGCTCATACATACAAACACATGCACTCAAACTGATATATATAGTTCCGGGAAACGCAGGCATCGATGGAAATGAAAGAGCTGACAGGTTGGCTGGATCCGCTATCACTACCGACGGTCAGCCTATGGATCATGCTGATATTATTAATGCCCTCAGAGAAATGGGAAGGATAGAAGACTTTGGTGGCAGTGAATCCACATCACTCGCCAGAATGGTAGACTTGGGAATTAGGATCGGCACAGCAAAAAACGAGACGCACACCAGACACGCCAGAAGACTTGTTAATCAACATAGAACTGGTACTATAAGCCATCGGACATTGGGGTTCATACTGAGGGGAGGATCTGAGCACCTATGGACATGTCCGGAGTGCAATGATGATAACCCAACTAACTAACTAACCAACTAATACAGACAGGTCGAAGGTACTGGACTGGATTCCATCATGATATCAAAGAAATTGCAGAGAATAGAACGGAATAGGAGGCCTAAGCACAAACTGTATTCAATCTACAAGAACCAATCAGATACTCACATTTGCTGTCTTGTGGCGTGACAGGCATTTCAAACACTTTCTGCAAGGCCATGAACCATTTGTTCATGTCATCCTGAGTCTCTGCTCGCAGTACAAAATTCCGCTCTGGAGTGTGCAAAGTGAAACAGCAGCTGCTGCTGTTTCCGTTAGGACTCATGGATTTTCTGTCCCCAACTTCGCCCCCTGTACTTAATCTGTAACCAGCATCCTTGTGTCCGATAAAAATTTCCCCCTTGGCAAATGCATTCTGAAACAAATAAATTAAACCTTATTCCATACAACTACATTAACAGGCCTCATTATGAATCATAATACATTCTCATCAAATATATGAGAATGGCTGGATGTGCACCACTGATACATGACAAGGCAGATGTGGGTCAAGGCTCTGTGGGAACAAGCAACTGAGTCAGTAGAGAAATGAGATTATTATGGCCTGGAGAGAATGAGGCACCTGGGTGTAACCAGAGGGTCTGGCCGGCTCACTACACTCAGAGGAGAAGCAAGACAGACATATAACCAGATTGTGACCAGTTCCATCAGAATTAGAACTTCTGCGTTGGCTGCTGAAGATGAGGAGAGAGCACACGTGGGAATGCCCTGAGTGCTGTGATGTCAATTCTTGACCCAACTCAGTTTTCAACAAATATAATAATGCTTCCCCACGTGGGTTCCTGAGTCCCATTTTTAAAGGGGCAGAAAACAAGGAAAAGATCCATTGCTCTTTAAGATGCATGGTGTAAACAGTGACCAAATAAGAATTTGTTGAAATCAGTCATGCTGGGCTGAATGGTGCAGATCTCACAGCCTAGCTGTAAACTACAACACAAAGTGCCAACTGCTCTCTATCCTTTGCAATCCCTTCAACATAATGGATGGAAATCAGTCCAGTACCTCTGGCATCACCCATAACTGTTCGTTTAAGGTTTTTATTTGGGGGGGGGGGTGTCCTTGCTTCCTCAATTCTTTTATTTCCCATTGTAGTGCCTGTCTGGTTATTCTCAGCTCATCTCTCCTGAGGATGTGCCCAATATGGCACCATTTTCTTTGTCTTGTAACTGTTAACACTAATGGCTGTCCAGAAATTTATCTTTATTTCTTTATCCCTTTTGAACTGATCCCATTCTATGTTTAATATTTTCCTCAAGGTGTGGCAACAAATTTTAGTCATTATTTCAGCCACTGATTTAACAGCCACTGATAGAAATTGTTCTGCGTTAGTTAGTTACAGTTTAAATTTCACAGTAGATCACATCACAACTACTCCATTCCTCTGTCTGGGAAAAATCACATCAAATGTCCCTTACTATCCCCTTTGTAAACTTCTTCAACTTCTTAAAGTCCATGCCGTGTGGCGTTGGTGGTCATGTCTTTCCACAGCCTTCTGTCTCGTGTACTTTTAATCAGCTCTGACACAGATGATCCTCCATGCCGTGATGGCAAACTGTCCAGCATCTTTTTTCTCGGCCTCCCTCTGCCTCTCCTGCTCTCAAACTCTCCTACTGTCATGATGTACTCCAGTTTTCTCCTTATCATATACCCAAGAATGTAGATTGTCTCTTTATGATGTGGGCAATCAGTTCTCTTTGTGAGCTAGTTTCTTTCAAGACATCCTCATTACTCTTTTGATCTGTCCAAGGTATTCTCATCATTTGACTATAAAACCAAACCTCCACGTCTTTGTAAAGAAGTGAAAGAGAATCAGTCTGGCAAAATCCAGAAGTCTTTACAATATACACAAGGCACTAATCAGCAAAAACTGTTAACACGACAGATCACCATTATGTGTGGTGCTAGTAAGCGTAGACTGTCAGGTTTTGCCATCTCACATAATCACCACAATCGCAGATAAGTTCATTGTTCTTGTTGTGCCACCATCCACCATGGCCCAAGCCATAAAGGTATTTATCCTGCCAGATAATCTACACAAAGCAGCTCACAATGAAAGAGAAAACTTACTAAAGGTTCTTCAAAGTACATCAGCTTCCTACGGTCCAGAGTAAACCATCTGCGTCTGAATGGTTCATTCTTGGGTCCCATTTTACTAAGCCAGCCTTCCATCAGAAAATCTTTGGTCAAGTCTTCTGCAAGCTACAAGAATAAATCATCATGATCACTAATGGGAATGAACAATAAATGTGTGACAGCAATGAATGCTCATCACGAACAGTTATCATTGGCCAAATCAGTTAGTGGGGTATCATCCTATCTCTCTTGTTGTCAAGATGACAACAAAAGCATGCTGTCAGATGGTGGTTATACTGTCAATCCACTGAAATTCCTGGAATATTTTCTAGTTTTTTTTTTTCTCTCTCTGTCTGTCTGTCTCTCTCTCTCTCTCTCTCTCTCTCTCTCTCTCTCTCTCTCTCTCTAAAAAAATATATATATATATAGGTATATATATATATATATATATATATATATATATATATATATATATTATATATATATATATATATATACACACACACCGACACATACATACATAACACACATACATACACAGTCATAAAACTATGTGTCTCTGGATCACAGAGTTACTGTTGACTGTTTGACCAGGTCTGAAAAAATGGTCTTCAGGTAAAAAACAAACAGCCAAAAAATCCTGCTACTGATTCTGTAAAGGATATGCAACCAATCTGTTACTGATTCTGTAAAGGATATGCAACCAATCTGTTACAAATCAGTTACAAATCTAGCAAACGAAGGATCTAATTGCCAGTGCTTGTATGTATCTTCTAGGTTCAGATGTTAAAGCCCACATTTCACGGGTGTAGGTGAAAGTGCTGAGGAGCTGGTGGTCGAGTAGTTAGCGGCCTTAAATCCTCAGCTCCCGACACCCCCCCCCACCACCTAGAAGGTTAATACGGGCAGCTTCTTCTTATCCGTGTTTGCTGGCAGTAAACGCCGGTGGTAAGTTCAGGTTGTTTGTCCACTTCTGGACTTTACTCTTTTCCAAAACTGAGTTTTGCATGCAAAAGATCTGGCTTATATGTATGCAGACTCTTGGTTCCTCGCCTCTAAGGCAAATGCACACCGACTACAGAAGAAATACACATAATTACTCTTTAATTAAGCATGTTATATCATGCTTTGCTTGTTCGGTGGGAAGGGGAGTCAAGGGGCAGTGGGTCTATTTATGGGGCCCCAGAAGCCACAATGGAAAGACCATGTCCTCAATAATGCATAGAGATTTTTTCGTTGGGGGCTAAAAAAACAAATATCCTAACCTGCACAGTTCATGGTAACTGCACTGGCCACTCTCCTATGTATCCTTGAAAAAAATGTTAACATAAGCAGAGAAGACAGGCAGGTGAACGGGTTAATTGCTCTGAATACTTTTGTTTTCAAGAAGATAATTTTGGACTTTCAGATTTGACATTTTTTGAGAACATTCTTGACATAATTATTTGGACCTTAGGTCATTTACAGTTAGAATTTCCCTCCAAAACTGAGCTTGGATATCAGGTAGACCCAGGCTGAAATGGGTAACAAATAAAGTCCTGGGAAGTAAAAGCTGCTGGCATGACACTGACATCACCCATAAAGTGCCCATGAGACTATAAAATAAGTCTTGCATCATATGCCTGTGGCGCCAGTGGCTTGAAACAAGAGTCCCTTACTCCTACTTACTAGAAGAGACGCAGTGACTTGCTAGGCATCTAGAAAAATGGCAGTTGAACAGCAAAGATAACAGGCCCTTTACCTATGGACACTGTTTCCTACCCTCACTGTTCTAGATCCTTTAGGACACATTTTGGGTTTATAAGTCATCTCCGGACACATAAAAATCAACTACAGCTTCATGACTGATGAAATAAAGAGTGGTCACCATCCCTTGCGATGGATGACCAACCACCAACCAACTCCCAGGTCACCTATAATGGATTCTAGAAATTTAAAATGAGTTACTTACACTAAAGTTTGCGATCTGATGTTAATAGATATTTTTAAATCAGCTGCCTTATCTGTCATTAGTCCTGTCTGCATTAAAATATAAAAGTTTCAAACTGTATGTAAAAAACATGCCCATTTACAGATAATTGCATTAGACTTTAAATGAAATAATAAAGAATATTAGCTAAATCCTTACCTGTGTTAGATCTCTATCTGGAAAGGCAATTCTTCTTCTTTCCCATTTGGCAGCTCTAATACACATGAACCAGTCGACAATCTCCTAAAGAAAATGACAAACAAAACAGTACATTTGTTAATTCTTGGAGAGAAGGAGAGAGGAAAAAAGCAAACAAATCCACTGAAGCCTTCTACAAAATATCTTAAAAACCCCTTGACCAACTAAAAAACACAACAACAAAATTATATGCCAAAACAAACTTAATAAAAGCTTATAAAAAAGCTACTAAATCCACCGAAGCCTTATAAAAGTTTTTGTTTAAAAAAAACCAGCATGACCAGATCAAATAAAAAGAAAAAACTGGGTACAATATTTTTTACATACCCCTGACGTCACAATGACGTCACAGGAGACATTCCCAATAAATTCTAGGGTGTTCAAGTTGTAGTTTCTCGCAGTTTCTCTACATCCAAGTTGTTCACATCGCAAAAGCGCGCTCTTGCAAAGCGCGCGCTTTACTATGACGTGCAGTGTTGCCACTTCGGATGCTTTACATCCACATTTAGATGTTTTTCCTTCCATTTAGATGTCTTTTTGACGTTTAAATGGTAGATGCTTTTCTAGATTCTTTTCATATGTTTTCCCTTCCATTTAGATGTCTTTTCGACGTTTAAATGGTAGATGCTTTTCATTTGGAGTCAATTTTTTTTTCTTATGGTAGATGTTTTTCTAGAGTTTTTCATTTGGAGTCAAATATTTTTTTCTTATGGTAGATGTTTTTCTAGATGCTTTTGATTTGAGTTAAATATTTTTTTTCCTTTCAGTTATTATTGTTTTTTATTTCAGTTACTCAAACTTTGAACTCTCACTGGGGTCAAAGCTAAAAAATCTGGCAGCCCCGGTAATGATTAATTAAAAGGGCGCGCAAATCACACTTACTTTGTTTCAACCGTATCCTCACTGTGCTAACTTTGTGTTTTTTTTTCATGTGATTAAATAAAAAGTAATTGCTCACCTTCATATGTGGCTTTCACTTTGAAAAAACATTTCAACATGCTAAAAGTAAAGTATGAGCAAAAATATTGGCAGTTCACGGGGATATCACCAAGGCTCGTTGTAAGTACTGTCATAAATCGCACAAACCACGAACGACGTAGCGCCAGCAACGGTCTAATAATTATTTGTTTCGTTGCTGGCCTGGATTTGCTTAACATAAACAATCCATACAGACGTTTATCTGACATTGCAGATCTAAGCCATGTTTTTACACGACGTAATGCGCTGAACGATCGCTCCACAGTACATGTTGTTGCTGGTAATGTTAGCAAAACTAGTAAGGCATACCTGACACTCAGATAAAACTTTGTAAAAGGTACAAGTCGATAAAATCTTGTTTACTTCTGTATTCTCGCGTTTTCCAAAAAGTCAAACCAACTCAAGGCTTCAGTTTCAAAATTATCAATGTGGTATATCTGATTAATAGTAGACATTATATCCTTAAACTGTTGACGATTCAGTTTGCACAATTTCGAAGGATGTAGCAACGCTAAGTTAAATTGTGCACTGTTGGCTTCACAAAATCGAATCTCAATTGAGTTAATTAGAGAATCTAAGTATGAAATGTAAACTGTTTGTCTGAAGTACTCTTCAACACTTAAGGTTCCCGGATTATTTTGATACTTTCGTCTTCCACACTGTCTTGGGATAATCAGTTCAATATCCACTTTCTGTGCGAGTTGTAGTGTTTTCTCAAAAATGTCCCTGAAATAGTTATCGGAATCACCTCGGTGAAGTTTTACTACACTGAGCAGGTTTTGAACTTGCAGTTGGACTTCTGGAAGATCAACTTGAACAGCTAGAAGAGCCTGAGTAACTGGTTCCAGTATGGCAGAGTACTGAGAAATAATATTGAGACAAAATAAAAACGTGCTGGACTTTGATGAACAATGTAACTGATGTGCAGCATGTTGTGTATTTCCACTTGCATGCAATGAAAATGTTTCCAGTTGACAATAAATGTCTGCAAATTTACTTGAAAAAATCCGAATACTTTTATACTTGCTTGTCCATCTTGTTTCACACAAAAGAGGAATATTTGGGACAGAGGACCTCATTTTTGGGCTTTCACAAAAAAAAATATAATAATTGCTTTGATAGTACTAATAGTATTTCGTATCACTGCAACATTATTAAGATCATTTACAACGAGATTCAGTATATGCGAGGCACCGTGAACAAAGGCAGCCTTGGGGTAAATACTTCGAATTTTTTGCTTGAACACCATTTCCTTTTCCGGCCATTGTCGAGCACCCATCATAACCTTGACCCAGCAGATTATTAAGGAGAAGGCCAAATGTTTTGCAATGTTGAATAATACAATCAGATGTCGTGGCGGCGTCCACACCTTTCAGCGGAGAAAATCCAAGGAATTCCGCACGAATCATAGCCTTCTCACTAGACGTATCTACAAACCGGACTCCCAGTGATAACTGTTCTGTTCCTAAGATATCTACTGTTTCATCGGCTATGATCGAGAATCCAGCAGCATTGTTAGCAGCTTCTACAATGTCTTCTCGCAGAGCTTGTTCACACGAATTGATCAAATCATTCTGCGTTCGGTGTGATGTGTAACGTGCATTTCCAGCAGCTGTATCAAAATGGTTTTTTTTTTAAAAATACTGTCTTCTTCCTCAATTCGATACGCATAAAGTTGTTCGACATTTCCTTTGGTGCTATCTTTCCCACGAATTGCCAAATCATTTGTTCCGCAAAATAAGATTGTTGAAATAAAAGGATACAGTTTCTTTCTGTTTTCTTCAATAGTTCGTTTTACGGAATTATCTATCTGACAAATAATATCCTTTTTTGGATCTCTAATGGTTGACGCAAAGTGTTCAGCATCTTGTTAAGACCCACGATGCCATGCTGAGCTGGTATGGTTTCTGGCAAATTCATTGAAATCTTT